GTCCTTGTAATTCTACCAGACACAAAGGGCAAAATAGGAATTTTAGAATTACGGAATTCTAAAAATTAAATACTTGAAAAATAATTAATTTAGAATTAATTATTATTTAAATAATGTGATTATTTAAATTTGAATTTGAACACATCTAGATTTATCCATTTAAACTTATTTGATAAGTTATTCAATTTTAGAATTCAAATTAATTTTAAGTTTGACTTAAATTTGAATTTGAATCTGAATCAAAATTGGACTACAGGATAAAGGATGATTTTTCTCTTCCTTCCCTATTTGAATTGGCGCCACACACAGGGTTAAGAAACCCTAATATGGCCGGCCACCTTAGAGAAAAGGGGAAGGGATTTTTGTTCCGAAAATAAAAAATGGAGATAAGGATTTGATCCGGTTTTGAAGTTTGACTTCTACTATTTAAATATGAGAATGATAGAAAATTGTGGATACAATTTTTTGAAACATTTTATTCAGCCCTAAAAGTTGGTGGCCGAATTTCTCAATAGCAAAAGAAAGAGAAAATATTTTTCTCCAAAAATTCCACATCGTGCATGCGTTGGTGTTTGTGGAAATTTGAGTGTTTAAGAAACCTGTTTTGTCTCACGTGTGCCCACACACACGTGTACGTAGAATCAAGGAATTGACGTGGAAGACTTTGGTATTCTAAACACAAAGATTAGAGCAAGGACTGTTCGTGGTCAAAGAATTCAAGTTATCATCCGAGTTAGCTTCCAGGTATTTTTCCGGATTGAATTTTTGATGTAAATTAATGCGATTAATTTATTCGAGCATAAATTAATATAATCTATAGAGTATCTCAAAAGTTTTATGAAAATTTTTGTTATACACGATCCGCCTTTCCCCACGCTTCCGCACCTGAATTCGATTCGGGAACCAACTATAGATGATATTAATTTATGCTTCGATTATTTGATAATCAGAATTGATATATTAAATATGTGATATTTAATTATGTATGTATGTGATGGGTAGGCACTTGCATTTATGGATGTTTATTTTTATTCATGTTGATGAATGTATGATGGTGGATTTGGTCGTTAATTATATGGTTCCATGGATCGGTTATATTTATTCATTGATTAAATTATTTGTAATTTTATTCGGGATTAGAATTATTGTAATTCTAGGTTTTGGGTAGAATTAGAGTTTTTTTATTTTGAATCAAAAAGGAGGCCTTGAAGATCAAGTTTGAA